TTTTCATTTATGCACACCACTACTTGCGCGCATAAAGCACCAAATTAAGACTGGTACAGCATGTCACAAAAAAGATTTACAGGTTTTTTGGGGTTTTTTTTACCGCAATAATAATAAACTACGCTTTGCCTAACGCTCATTCTCCGCCCATAGGTAGCGCTAGGTCACAACGAGATGCCAAAGTTTCATCCGGAACGGACACCTTATTCAAAAGTTATAAGTGATTTTCTGAAAATTTCAATGGGAAAATGGAGCCCATTTTGACCGTTTTCGGTTTCTAGTGCCATAGAGCCCCATGTATTCGAAAACTCCGTCGGCCGTCATTTTCCAATTGAACTTTTCAGAAAAGCACTTATAACTTTTGAATAAGGTATAGGATCGGGCTGAAACTTTGACATCTGGTTGTGACCTCAAGCGCTACTTTTCGGCGAAAAATGAGCGTCCGGCGATGCCTAATTTATTCTTGCAATTAAAAAAAAATTTTGTGACACTTAGTGCATTGCTTAAACTATGTGCAAAAGCTATCCACAGCCCCAGAATCTTTGCCTGGCCAGTCATTGCATTTATCAATGAATTCGCACTAAAATTAATTCTTATCATTTATTGCTGTGAGTGAATTATTAGTATTTTTTTATTATGATTCCCGCACCAGTCCTACTTTGGGTTTACCAAACTCAACATATAAACCTGACTGTCATTTTTTGTGCTTTCCAGCCTCGTGGTTCCGGTCAAAATAAACACCCAGCTACATAAGTGAGACACCTGACCGCCCAAAAAGCAGTTCCTTTGTTTTGATTTTTGAGGTAGTTAATTCCTCAAGCTAGAACTTTGGAAACCTAAGTCTATCACGTCATCACGTTTTCCTGGAAATCCACAAAGAGCCAAACACATGCACGACAAAAGGGCCGGCCCGTCATATTGCCACCTGCAGAGCAGAGACAGCAACACTCGGTCATGTACTTCTAGAAGATTCGTGTTCATTCTTGCACCAGACGTAACTTTCGCCCTACTTTCTTCTCGAAAATGCCAGTTCATCCTCGCCCTCGCTCCGAGCGCACGACGCTCGAATCTTTTTTGCCGAACTTCCGAGATAGTGACACACTGTAGATAATAGATAAGCAGCTGCCCGCGACCTTGGGCCCTAAACTCGTCAGATACAAAGTTATAGCCGAAAGTTCGCGGAGCGCGCCGATTGGATGTCGACGAGAAAAACGCGAAGTCATTGTCGTGATTGTCCAATCGGCGCGCTCCGTCAACTTTGCCTCCAAGTTTGTATTTGACAAGTTTAGGGCCCCTTGTCGAGTCAGTTGCGCTGCCGAATCGCCGCCTGCTTTTCTGCTGCCTCGACACTGTTTCTTTACTTTTTAGTTTGGCACAGTTCACAGAATAAACCTTTATTTTTCAGTTCACTGTTCGTTCTCTCGCCACCTTTATTCATGGCAATATAAATATCATCACATTAAAATATGTGTAATTGGCCTCTGAAATCTCCGATGACGGCGCACAAGCAATTTATATTTTTCAACGCATCAGTGTCTCGCCATTTCGCTCTGAACGATTTTCGCGTTTTGTTCTGCCCACATTTGCTGAAGACGTGAGCTCGGAGCGCAGGCAACTGGCCCCCTTGCACGAGAACTGGCGCAGCCGTGCTCGTTCCAAAGAAAGCTCGTGCAGAGAAAATCAAGCAAGGTACCAGGGATGTCAAATTCAGGATATAGAAAAATACCCCACTGTATCGAAGCGCCACCACACATGATTTCTCGCATTGATGCACAGGCCTAAAAGACGATCTTACCGCCATCTGTTGGTTCAGAACCACACTAACCAAGGGTGGGGTTGCACCTTAAAAGCTGGGAGACAGACAAATCACAAACACGCATACTAAAAACGCTAGACGACGGCAAATGCATAGTACTTTATGCGGTGTGCAAGTTTCTTCTGCTCTGCAGGCGAGAATAGAGAGCTCCGAAACTGAGCTTGCTCCAGTATAACGTTGGGCAGGAGTGGGTGATACATTGGAAGTTGGCACACTGATATCTGAATGGCGTACAAATAAAATATACAAAACAACAAAATTCTCTTTCTATACAATCAATGCACGAAACCTTAACCCACTCCCTTTTTAACATTTGACATTGTAACACACATATAAAATATTGAGAACTTTGAACTTCATAATTAAAGAGTAATCGAAAACATTTTTAGCACTGAAGAATGATCTCTACACCTTTTTCAAAAGAGAGAATGAATCAATGTTAACAACATCACCGGTAAGACTGTTCCATAAAGCAATTGTATGCACAAAAAAAGATTGTTTATAGCTATTTATTTGTTAATTAATGTGGGCTACGGTCTTTGAGTGATGCAGATGTTCGGAGCAGAAGCCTCTTGGTCTTAAATATTTTGAGCTATCAATTTTTATACTGTTCTTGAAAATCTGAAAGAACAATTTGACCCGTTGGCACGCTCTTCTGTTTGCCGGAGGATTTATATTGGCTCTCGTTTTAAATCCCGTGACAGACGTGGTTCGTCTGAAATATGAAAATATTATGGGCACCTCTCGTGATTGGACATCTTCGCGTTCTTTGAGCATAGAGCTCTGCCATGGGCTTCACACTGCAGAGCATATTATAAGACAGGTCTAATGTTTGATTTATTTGGAAGAATTTTCACAGAAGGAGGAGATTTGCCAAGCGTTTTTCTCAGATACCACAATTTGTTTGTTGCACCCTTCTTACTCCACATGCTTTTTTCACCTTAGGTCACTCGATAAAGTCACTCCCAAATATTTAGAACTGTCAACTTTTGTCAGCTGCGCGCCGTCAACCTCATAACCAAAGTTTAATACATTTTTTTTGTTGAAATATGGATGTACTGAGTTTTCCTGATATTAACTTTATGTTATTCACATGACACCAAGACGCGATGCTAGCCAATACATCCCTCACTTTTATGTAGTCCTGTATTGTAGAAACTGGAGTGCAAATAACGCAGTCACCGGCATACATTCTTAACTTAATTGGAGCATCAATGGTGGATTGAAACAAGTTGTTAACATAGACCAAAAAAAGCAGAGGCCACAGGACGGAACGTTGGGTATGCCGGAATAAACATCCAATAATCCTGAAAAGGTACCATATACATCCACGAACTGTTGGCGGTTTGAAAGGTGTGCATTAACTCATCCAGTCACACATGAGGGAACTTCGAGGTCGATTAAGGTCTTAATTAGTCTATGGAGAGGTACTCGGTCAAACGCAGGTCAATGAACACTGCATCAACCTGCATACGGCTATTAACGTAAGTGGATAATTCATGATAAAATTCAATTAAGTGGGTTACCGCTCACAGGCCGCTGCGGAAACCATGTTGGTTGGGGTTTAGAATATTATGCAGTTCTAGGAAAGAAACATTTGCTTCTTTTCTAGAACGCTTGTGTACCCTGAAAATGCACGCACGTGCCCCCCCCCCCCCCCCCCCCTTTTCCCGACCCCTTTCCGACCTTGACCAATGACGGCACAAGCGTATGGCTGGTTTGTCATCATGCGTCTGCCCTACGTTTTCTGCATTGCCATTTGATCGGCGTTCCCCTCCTTGTTTTTGGAGCACTTGATCGCCGCCGCCGTATTAGTTTAGCCGGTGATATCACTCGCGCAAAAACATGACGAACGCCGAACGCCGTGACATTGCGCTTTTGGTGCTGCTGGCACTAAAGTTCCTAGGTAAGAGCTACCTGCAAGTAGCGATATATTTGACTGCATGACGGTACAGATTTTAGGAAGCGAATAGCCAACCTGCAATGCTGTTTGGTTTGGCGTCATCTAGCGACTGAAGCAAGAAATATTGGGTACCCCTGGGAGTGGCGGTTGCATTGTTCAAACGTGAGCTATTACTCTGGTGGCGCCGCTGAGCCTAGTGTCTGAAGCAAGAAATACTGGGTATCCCAGGAAGCCGTGATCGCGTAACGTGCCAGTAGAACGGAAGCTACGGCCCTGGCGGGTCAATCGGAACGTGACTGCGTATCACCGGAGCGCGGCTCAACTTTGAAGAAGTATCAGACTTTTCGCTGCTTCATGCTCCAATATGTGTGCGTTGCGCTCGTATACGTCGCGCGTTTCGAAGCCTTCGGCACGCAGTGTGAGGCTTATCGTTCGCCGTTGGCCAAGTTACAACGAGACAGGGTATAACCGTGCGCTCTCGCCCTGCTGGCGCCGCTTGGCCGTTGCCGGTTGCCTATAGCCGCGCACAGCAGAACAGAACTGAATGACGCCATTTTGTTCCAGCGGAACGTGCTTTGCCATTTATATTGGTTCTGGTTACTTGTAAAAAGAAGTATCAAAGGACTTTAATTGGGCCGCATTGACTGCCAGCCACGTAGGCACTTTGCGCGGTCATGAATTTCTTTTGCCTGCGAAACAGTGGTCACGGAACGGAAGTCAGATATCGCGAAACACCGAAACGCTGTCTTATCTTCCTTTCTCATTGTTGAGTAAAGCCGATGCTTCGACCAGTCGTCCCTCCCACTTTCCATTTCACCCCTCACGCGCCCCTGCGTATCAGCTCGATTCTAAACTCGATTCAGCCTCCGTGGTCTTCCTTTCACAGTGGCAAAAATATGCTCTATCCTAACCGAAAATTAAGACAAGCAACAGACTGACAAGAAAAGCCTCAACTGCATCAACTATTTTTGTGCTATGTTTTGTGTTCTGTAACGCTCCCTCTTTTTCTTTTTTCTCGTTTTTTTTTTTTTTCTGCGCGCGTGTGTGCGTGTGTATGTTCGTGTGGTCGTGTCAGGCCTGCGCTGCTACTCCCTACTCATTTCTTTCCTATTTTAATCATTATGTTTTTAGGTCTTAGATCATATCACTTCCAAGGTTTGGAGTAGCCGGCGTCATTTCAAGGCTGTGGAATTTTCCATAGCACCATCTATTCTACTTCTGTGCAGAGCACCAAACGACTTGACACCCGTGTTTACATCGCCGCTTCGGACCGCCCGCGGCATGCTTCCTCCGCAGCCATTCTACGCGCCAGTCTACAAGGTCCGTTGCTCTCAAGTTGGTAGCAGCGGCAGGCATTACAGCTGCAGACTCCTGCCGAAGCATCTGCACGCTAACCACGAAAGAAGACGGGTCCTCCTCGTCTTCAACGATTTCCCGGAGCCCGAGTGCAAGCACGACGAAATGACGGTAACCCTCAAGATCAACGATGCCAAGTTCTACGGCGTGCCTCTGAAGATGCTCGACATTACGGGTCATGTCTCTGCCACAGTGAACGACATCCGCATCAAGAGCTGCAGCGTACCTGACGGGTTGTGTGACGGGTACCTGACGGTTCACGTCGTCAACAAGACACCGGAGCACGAATTGGTTCGGTGGTGTGGGGACGATCATCTGAAGGGAATGGACAACGTGGCCTCTACACATGACTTAGTGAAGAAGGCGGTTGGGGATGAAAACACTGAGGACATAGTCGTGGACTTCATTACGCTGGCCCTCACCTGTCCCTTATCGAGGACTAGAATTAAGGTGCCGTGCCGCGGCCCCAGATGTTCCCACGTCCAGGCTTTCGACGCGATGGCCTACCTCGAAATGAACGAAAGCACCCTCCGGCCGTTGTGGCGCTGTCCAGTGTGCGATCAAAGTATCAAGGTAGAAGAGCTTAGGATCGACCTGTTTGCACTCGACCATCCGGGTCGCATTGACTCTTCCTGCGGCGCCGTAAAACTTTTCCCGGGTGGCAGGTGGACGCCTGTAGTAAAACCTGTCGACGTTATCCTAATCGGCGATAGCCCTATGAAACCACCTGACGTCGACCGAAATCTTGACCTTTCGGTAATTGACCTGACATCGGACACTTCTTCGAATGAAGATGACTAAGTGGTATGGCAGATCCATCGTTCGTTTTATGTCCCTAAGAGCCTCCAAAACCTAAATATTTTAAAGAATGTTTTTTTCGCCTTTTTGTTTAAGGAGACCCTAAACGGCATCACTCAGTGATACCATCGTTTATGTATTTCTTGAGCGTTTTTTGAACTTGTATTTTTACGTTAGAATGTTTTGGTCTCTTTTTGTTTCAGCTACACAGAACGATTTTAGTTACAGTACGGTGCCTGCAACGCGCCTCCGACTTATGTGTTTACCGCGTCCCCAAAAAAGTGGTCCCTTGATTTTCACATGATGACGTCATATAAGTGTCATGCTGTCGCCGGCCGTGATCCCCGGCGTCGTAGCAGTGGTGCTGGATATGAACGATCGCTGTTGAGCGGCATGTCGCTCTCCAGCGCGACAGTCTACGGAAGGTTCGGCAGCCAGCAAATGAGGCGCCACGACGACAGCGACACGCACATTCGCTGGTGCTTTTCGCGAGAATTTCTACGACCAACCGCCAAGTTCCCGAGAGCATGACACTCCGGCTTTTGTGACGTCATTTGTTGCCACTTCGGGACCACTTTCGATGCATTGGAGGACTTTGACGCTAAACACACCAGTCGGAGACGGGTTCCAGGCACCGTAGTTATAGTCGCTGACAAGATAAGAACGGCGGGGAGGTGTTTCAGATGTTGCCCCTTGAGCGCGACTTTCCCACCTTCGATAGCGCTTTGGCGTCTCGTAAGCTTGGAGCGTAAACGCTTATTCGAAGCACGACGGAAAGCAATGAGCGCATGACGGAGATCCTTGTATCCAATAAATATACCCCTGCTGTTCTCGTTCTACAAGTGCTTACAGTGACGCTCGCTGATGATGATCATGAAGTACTATGTGGCGACTTTTTTGGCAGCCCATACCAATGAGTGTCCGACATTCCTGGTTGACTTTCTCCGTCAGACCGTAGCCTTGGAATAAAATGAGGCGCTACCGTAAATCGTCTAAGATTATGACGGGACCAAAAGGCACAAGCCTCGCATTGAGCGTAATAAGGTGCTGCGTGCTTGATACTGGCACGCTAATTACAAAGATTCCGCCTTTGCTCACACTAGGTCAAAGCACTGCGCGTGACCAGGAGCCAGATCCGCGTCAAGTGATATGCATGTGCTGTGCCAAGAGCATGCCTCACCGCAGCTGCTTGCTTCAGAGCCGCTTGCTGTATAAAAACATACGGAAGGACGCTTAAGTTTCGTCTTTAAGAGAGGAACGCGAAAGCTAAACGCATAAACACCCGCCCGTTCCCAAGTCGTGCAAGCGTACCTGCGAGGCGATTCCACTTTCGGCCCCCGCCGAGTACAGACGTGCGATGACAAGCTCCAACGGAGCGGCAACAACAGACTTTACTGGGCGCCGTATCCCTGCTAGTACTAAATCTACTGATTATGCGATTGTTCTAGCTGCCTCCTGTGCCTAATGGATACATTGCGAATAATGCAGTATTTCTGCATTGCGAAAAACGAAACCGGCCCTATTGTATTGAAGACTTTAAAAAGGAACTAAGAAGATTGGCAGTCCTTCTAAACTTGGCGTCGGCAGGCGCCCATCAGATGATTCACGTATGGATACTCTGACTGCACTCACTAGCCGCGACGCAGCGTTTGGTGGAAGCAAAAAAGCGGCAGCGCGCAGGTGGGCGGTGCCTCATGTTTGACCCGGTCAACATAGTAGTGAAGGTCAAGCTCCACTGGGATCCTTACGATGTACCCAACTGCCAGGTACGTAGGGAACTGGAGCGCTTTGGTAAAGTTTCTGAGATCAGCAGAGACTACTTTTGTGAGAAAGGTTTCGAGCACCAGAATTGTCCGGATGGCACTCGAGGATGGAATCGCCGGGGACGACATCCCGCATAAAATTCGCGTCGAGGGCTGCAAGGTACTCGTTCTGGTGCCCGGTAGAGCCCCTCTTTGCCTTCGGTGTCAGCGCAAGGTACACGTCAGGAAAGAATGCCGTGTTCCCAGATGCCCGGAATGCCATCGTCAACCCAGGTAGCACAGCACGTCGAGATGACATCGAAATAAGGTCCCAGACGTCGGCGACATTGAGGTCCTTAATAGACCTTTTATCCACGTCAATGGTATGTCCATACGAGAGGTTCCGACAACGTCAAACGCGTGACGTCGTGATAACGTCATGAGTTTCACCTCGACGTCGTCAACATCAATCGACGTCTTGTCCGGGAAGTTTTTTGAACGTCTAGCACGAGACGTCCCTACAATTTCCTGAGATACACCTTGACGTCATCGACATTAATCGACGTCTGTTCTACATTTTCTTTAAGAAGTTATTTCAACGTCAAGTTTGACACTTCCGAACAATGTCCTGAGCAGCACCTTAACGTCATCGACATTAATCGACGTCAGTTCCACGTTTTCTTTCGGAAGTTCTTTGAACGTCAAGCACGAGACGTCCCAACAATATTCTGAGCAACACCTTGGCGTCATCGACATTTGTCAACGTCAGTTCTACGTTTTCTTTGGGAAGTTCTTTGAACGTCAAGCACGAAACGTCCCAACAATGTCCTGAGAAACACCTTGGCGTCATCGACATTAATCGACTCTGTTCTATATTTTCTTCGAGAAGTTATTTCAACGTCAAGTTTGAGACTTCTTAACAATGTCCTGAGCAGCACCTTAACGTCATCGACATTAATCGACGTCAGTTCCACGTTTTCTTTGGGAAGTTCTTTGAACGTCAAGCACGAGACGTCCCAACAATGTCCTGAGCAACACCTTGGCATCATTGACATCAGTCGACGTTAGTTCTATGTTTCTTTGGGAAGTCTTTTCAACGTGAAGTACGAGACGTCCCAACAATGTCCTGAGCAACACCTTGGCGTCATCGACATTAATCGACGTCAGTTCTACGTTTTCTTTGGAAGTCTTTTGAACGTCAAGCACGAGATGTCTCAACAATGTCCTGAGCTACACGTTGACGTCATCGATATTAAGTGACGTCTGTTCTTCGTTTGCACGAGGAATTATTTCAACGTCTAGTATGATACACCCTGACAACGTCCGCGCTTTACCTTGATGTCTTCGGCATCCACGACCTCTATTCAACGTCCAGGGCAGTTTTTGGGACGTAAAGCACGAAACGTCTCAACAAGGGATGGGGGCTATTCCAAGAGACAATTCAAATAATGTATTAAGTACGAGTAATATTTGCTCCCACTCTCCGTGTTTATGCGACAAATGATATCAGTCACCGGCCAAGTCGGATTCAAAGATAAGACTGCCATATATGCAGTGCGAACTCAGCGTACGCAGAGAGGGGTGGGGTTCCGGTGTCGCTGCGTTGCAATTGTGTGGGGAGGTATTCTGCTTGTGTTCCGTGTATTATGTGTGTTCAGTGATGTATATGTATCTACCATGTAGCATCCAAACGTTGGGGGAACTTAAAAACGAATTGACGCTTCTCCAACATTTTTTTCTTCCCGTTTTGAGTGCCATCTGGTTGAAGCTATATAATTACACGAGGGGATAAAGTTCCCTTCATTGGGTGAAAAAATGTGGCAATTTTCCTCCGTTGGGAAGGAACGTTTTCTCAACGAGCAAAAATAGGTGGCAACCTTCCTCCCTTTTTAGGGAAGTAAGTTTCCTCCCCAGTTTGCAGGAAGAAATTTCCTCCCGTGATAGAGCAATATATGATACACGCGAGTTCCTCCTTTAAGGAAGGAAGTACTACTCCCTTTTCTTGGTGTGTAGACGATGTCCTAAAGGTGTCGAATATACGTTTGGATAAAACGTCTGCCTGACGTTCTATGACCTTTTTAAGGATATGCGGTGCTATCTTTACGTTTCTTGTATGTCGATTTAACGCCTCCAGTAGACGTATAGTACGTTTTAGACGTTTCTATACTTCAATATACGTTTCCTATTCAACCAGGCGTGCGAATAGTATTTATATTTGACGACCTGCGGCTTTTTCTTTATGGCGTGAAGTGATATTTCTACGTCTTTGAAACGTTGACATGACGTTATTAATTGACATCACTTTCAGACGGACGTTATGTCAGCGTTGATATAACGTTATCACATGACTTCCCGTTCAATTCAGACGTGCATTCGACGTTTTATGGTCGTTAAGTGGGACGTTTTGTCAACGTAAAATCAACCCTTTTCTAGACATTAATTAGCTTTTCCAAATTACGTCGAAGGGACCTGACGTATAGATTTTTTACGTTCTTTCGACATGTGGTCACTGACGTCATCGACGTTCTTTCTACGTCTTTTTAACGTGTCCGTGTTGCCTGGGAAGGCTGCTATAGAGCACGGACTGTGTTCGCACCTAGGCAGCGATACCCCAAGAACGGACTGACGAAGATGCAAACGACTTTCAGATGAATAAGGCAAAAGCGGAAGACGCGACAGGAAGAGCCATGCCTCGGAATCCTAGTAGCAAAGAAGTAAGCGGAACCGCCCTCTCTGTGAAACAGGATGAGGCAGCAAGGGCTTCTCAACGCAGCCATCTAGAAAAAAAAGGCAGAAAAAAAAAAGAAAAAAAAAAAAGAAAGGAGCCGTAGAAACTCGCTCCGAGTGCTTTCTAACGCTTCTGTGCGCATACGTTCTGCGTCGAAACTACATTCTGTACAGAATGTTTCTTGTGTGAGCACAACCTTTCACTCTTTACTGTCAAAGTAACAAGGGTTGAGTCAATCCCGCCTTTCCGCTTTGCCACCTTTAAGGTAAGGGGAATAATCTTTAGGAAAAAACAGTACCAGTTGCAAAGACTTCTTAATGATCAAGATATTGACATCCTACACCTCTAAGAAACATAAATAAAAAATTACAAGGTAATTGATCTTGATATAAGACCATTTTTGCTCAAATAAGCGATATGTGTCAATCGGCATGTCCGCAGGGCGCTTTTAATTTCTTTCCGAGAAAATTAATTTGACCAAACTGAGGAATTACAACTGACGACGCAGGTTGTTTTATTTTTTGTGATTTCGTTTTAAAAAAATGAGGGAGGCGTGGC